TGGCGAGAACGCATCTCTACCATACATCCAAAAAAGATTAGCCAGGCGTGGTAGCGCGTGCCTGTAGTTTCAGCTGCTTGGAAGGCAGAGGCAGGTTGGCACTGGGGTGGCCATGAGCGTGCCACTGCACTCCAGGCTGGGCAACGGAGTAAGACTCCAATTAAAAAAAAAAAGACAAAAGTAGGAATTTTGAAAGTACCAAGAATTTTAAAACAACCACTATTAACATGTTTTGATGTTGTATGTATCATGCAGGCCAGGTGCAGTGGCACACGCTTATAATTCCAGCAATTTGAGGTGTGGACGCAAGAGGATTGCCTGAGCCTAAGAGTTCAAGACCAGCCTGGGCAAGTTGACCTCATCGCTACAATAAATCAAAGAAATGGCCATTGCTAGGCCACTGCCACTGCCATTGCCTTACTAAGCCATGGTGTGGCATGTGCTCTTTGAGCTACGGCCAGGCCATGTTTTCTTAAGCTTTGACCCCCTCCCCTATCTTGGGTAGGTGAACTTCCTCTTTCTCTCTCTCTCTCTCTCTCTCTCTCTCTAATTTACTTTCTAAATAAACTATATTTGCTTTTCTTTTCTTTTTGAGTTGGAATCTCACTCTATCGCCCAGACTGGAGGGCAATGGCACACTCTCAGCCACCGCAGCCTCGACCTGCTGGGCTCCAGCGATCCTTCCGCCTCTGCCTTCCAAGGAGCCGGAACTACAGGCACGCCCTACCACACCCGGCTAATTTTTTTGATTTATTGTAGAGACGAGGTCTCGCCAAGTTGCCCGGGCAGGTCTCGAACCCACGGGCTCAGACAATGCACTCACCTCGGCCTCCCAAAGTGCTGGGATTACAGGCTGAACCACCGAGCCCGGCTAATTTTTTGATTTATTGTAGAGATAAGGTCTCGTCAAGTTTCCCAGACTGGTCTCGAACCTCTGGACTCAGGCAATCCCCTTACCTCAGCCTCCTGAAGTGCTGGGATTACAAGTTTGAGCCACCACGCCTGGTCATAAACTATATTTTCTAATCTAAACAAAAACAAAAACAAAGAACTAGCTGGGCATGGCAGTACAGGCCAGTAGTCCCAGCTACTTGGAAGGCTGAGGTGGAAGGATCACCTGAGCCCAGCAGATCAAGGCAGTGGTGGCTGTGATTGTGCCACTGCACTCCAGCCTGGGTAACAGAGAGAGACTCTGACTCAAAAACAAATAAATAAATAAATAAAATATATGCATCATACAAAGCTGCTATATGTATGGTTGACATGGCAAATATATATATTTGTGATCACTGGGTATATACAGAGGGTGCCAATGAAATGTATACAAATTTTAAGAAAGGAAAAAACTACTAAATTGTAATACCCAATATATACCGATAAAAGATGAATACGGCCGGGCTCAGTGGTTCAGCCTGTAATCCCGCGCCTTTGGGAGGCTGAGGTGAGTGGATTGCCTGAGCCCGTGGGTTCGAGACCCGCCTGGGCAACTTGGCGAGACCTCATCTCTACAATAAATTTAAAAATTAGCTGGGCGTGGTAGTGCACACCTGTAGTTCCAGCTACTTGGAAGGCTGAGGCGGAAGGATCGCCGGAGCCCAGCGGGTCGAGGCTGCGGTGGCCGGGAGCGGCCGCTGCACTCCCATCTGGGTGACAGAGTGAGACTCCAACTCAAAAAAAAAAAAAAAAGATGAATACAAGTCACGTTCGACTTCTGCAAATACACCTTGCTACAGTAATTCAAGTCCACTTCGAAAAGTAATACATAGAAAACATCTCTGAAAATGTGTAGACATATTTTTGGTATCCCCCGTATGGTTTCATTGCCTGCTTTTATTCACTTAATATTTTTAAGTGATTATTTTTCTTTTCTCTTTTTTTTTAGAGACAGGTCTCAAGCAGTCCTTCTGCCTCAACTTGTCAAGTAGCTGGGACTACAGGAGTGTGCCACCACACCTGGCTAATTTTTTTTTAAATATTTTTTTGTAGAGACAGGGCCTCACTAGGTTGGTCTCAAATTCCTGGCCTCAAGTGATCCTCCCACCTCAGCCTCCTAAAGTACTGGGATTAGAGACATGAGCCTATGCACTCAGCCTGGAGTACTTATGAGTATGTTTTTCTTCGCTGGCCGATAGTAAGTCAACCCCTCAGGTGGGCGATCATATCCTCTCTACCTGGGCTGTTTTGTTCTGTGCTCAGGAGACACTTAACACCTTTGCTAATGAAGATACTTCCCTGGATTTTGTTTTTAAGAGATAGGGTCTTGCTGTGTGTCCAGGCTGGTCTCAAACTCCCAAACTCCTCAGCCCTCCCAGTAGCTGGGATTACAGGTGTGAGCCACCACACCCGGTTCAAATTCATCCATCTAACACACATTTTTGAATCTGTCTCGTCCACTAGGGTCTGTCCCAGAGCAGTACAGGAAGAATATGAGACCAGACCCCCGCCCCTGGGGAAGCCAGAGGAAATGAGACTCAGCCAGGAGCACCCACTACACCAGGGAGGCAGTTGGCAACGACACTCTGAGGGTGGTCCGAGTGCTCCTCAGACCTCTAAGGGGAGTTTCCCTTTGGCTGGGGTGAGCAGGGTCGTTGCAAAGGTGCTGTGTGTACAAGGCCTTGACGGATGGTAGGATCTGGCCGGGAGGTGGGTGGAGAACGGTCCAACAGAGGGTCCCGCGAGAACAAGAAACAGGTGGGAAGGACACAAAACCTATGGGGTGTGTGAGGCGACAGTGTGTAAATGGCATCGTGGGACTAGGCATCCAGGGACACACGGACTTTGGGCCCCGGGAACAGTGGTGACCAGACAGGAAGCACTTCCTGGAGGCCTCGGTCCCTGACTCCCCCCGGGAGGGGACACCGTGGAGTCCATGCTCTTATCTAACCTGTGGTCCCTCCCTCTAATTCCCACGATCAGTCCTAAAACCCGGGGAATCAGAAGAATGCCCAGGGAGCAAGAGATGCTTCTCTCATTGAGTGTTCCGGGTAGGGAGAGATAAGCAGACTGGAAACAGGAATTTTGAAAGAGAGTAACAAACACAATGGGGCAAAAGTTTTTTTAAAAAATGTTTTTAAGGCATTTTGGCTATCACATTCAATGTCCACTAGATGGCCACATGCACACATTTTTGGGGGAAAAAATGATGCTCTCTGCTCACTTTCCTGTCCCCCGGACTGGGGTGTCTGGGTGGAAGGGACCTTCCTCTAAATGTCCGCCAGAGTTTGATTTGGACTTTCGTCCTGGAAACATAATTTTTTCATAATAATCACGTGACACTGGTCAAAGCCTTAGTGGCAATCTTAAAGCTGAAAGTCATATTTTCTGTAGGACTTTGCCGAAACTAGAAGGATCCTGGGCGGTAGCTCCGGGCACAGAGATATCACGGGCAGGGGCGGGGGTCTGGGAGTCCCTCAGCAGCAGCAAACACAAGACACCTGTGGTGTGAGACCTGCCAGGCGACCCCAAGATGAACATGGGATCACCGAAGCAGCTTCGTTCTGGCCAGAACTGGATAGCGTATGGCTTCGTCTGACCTCTCTAGAGACACAAAATCCAGAAGTGGGTCTTTTTTTTCCTTCTATTTTATTGTTTAAAAATAGCATTTCCAAATAGGATCAAATGAGTTGGGCAATGACGGGCTGCACGGGTTTCTTTGCTACAGAACTTCTAACGACATTTAAAATGCTTATTGTGCTCTGACATTTTCCAGAGAACTGGGGGCAGGGGACAACATACAATGTTACTCGAAATTATTTGACCACAGAACCCTTTTAGATACCTATTCATGTCTCAAGGAAGTAGTTCTCCTGAGAGCCTTTAGAAGACATTTTTAAATGAACGTAACACCAAACATCTTTTAATTTTAACCTCCGGACTCCTAAAGGAAGAATTACCTCATGCCAAACATACAAATGAAATTACAGAGCTCTATTTATTCTATGAAAAACTCAGCCAGGTGCGGTGGCTCATGCCTGTAAGCCCAGCACCTTGGGAGGCCGAGGCAAGAGGAGTTCAAGACCAGCCTGGGCAATATAGCGAGACCTCGTCTCTACAATAAATCAAAAAATTAGCCAGGTGTGGTGGCGCATGCCTGTAGTCCCGGCTACTCAAGAAAGAAAGAAAGTCACCTTCAGGTGAGTGAAGGATCATCTGAGCCCAGAAGGTCAAGGCTGTGGTGAGACATGATTGTCATTGCACTCCAGCCTGGGTGACAGAGACCCCAACTCAAAAAAAACATTTATTTATCTCTTTATTTAGTTAATTTCATTTATTTTGTCCACTGGGGTTCCCTTAAGACCCTCGCCCCCCAGCCACGGTGGCTCACACCCATAATCCCAGCATTTTGGGAGGCCGAGGTGAGAGGTCTGCCTGAACCCACAGGCTCAAGACCAGCCTGGGCAACTTGGCAAGACCTCATCTCTACAATAAATAAGAAAATTAGCCGGATGTGATGGTGCGTGCCTGTAGTTCCAGTTACTTGGTAGACTGAGGCGGAAGGATCACCTGAGTCTAGCAGGTCGAGGCTGCGGTGGCTGTGAGCGTACCACTACACTCCAGCCTGGGTGGCAGAGTGAGACTGACAAAAAAAAAATATCCCCTGGAAGGTGTTCCCTACCTGCTCGGACCTCTGGACTCCTAAAGGAAGGACCCCTGGGCGCTGCCCCCCCCCGTTCAGACAGCACCGTCCCCGAGGCATTGTTTTTCTGAGCCTGTGCCACATTTTCTCTCTGTCTCTCTCCTCTTTTTTTTTTTTTTTTACTTTTTTAAATTTGAATTAAGAAAGGTGGATTCGTTAAAAGGAAGAAAGCATTGTGAAGGGCACAATGGACAGGACAGCAGCAAGAGTGTCCGCTGTCTGCTGCCTGTACCACACTTTCTTTCTTTCTTTCTTTCTTTTTTGAGTCAGAGTCTCCCTTCATCACCCAGGCTGGAGACCAGTGGCGCACTCACGGCCACCCCAGTGTCAACCCGCTGGGCTCTGGCTATCCTTCCACCTCAGCTTTCCAAGTAGCTGGAACTACAGGTGCACACTATCATGCCTGGCTAATTTTCTTTCTTTCTTTCTTTCTTTTAATTGATTGTAGAGACGCGGTCTCGCCAAGTGGCCCGGGCTGGTCTCAAACCCACAGGCTCAGGCAATCCATCCGCCTCGGCCTCCCAGAGTGCTGGGATGACAGACCGAGCCACCGAACCCAGCCCTACATTTTCAAAGAACACTGGGTATTGGCAAACCTTCGTCTCTCTAGCACAGAGCTGGGCACGGATACATGACAGGGGCTCGATGCTCCCTCATTTTAGTGTTTGAGTGAGAACAAATAGGATGGAAAGGAGGGAATCAAGAGAGGTGGGAGGAACGCTCAGCAAAGCAGTTGAGAGGGGGGTCACAGAGCTGAGACACCAGGGGCGCCCCTCCCAGGCCCTTGACCCGCCCCGTGGGGAGTGCTCCTGGCATCTCCCCAGGACGCCCACGGCCTCCTACTTGTTGTAGAGTACGATGTCAGGGATCCAGATCATCTCTGAAGGGACCCGGAGGGACGTGATGTTACCAAAGTCAGCAGGGTTCCAGCGCAACTTGTAGTCGCTCCACTCCTGGAGGGGGCACAGGGGGCGGGGCGGTCACCCCCAGTGCCAGGACCAGGCCTCGGACAGACCTAAGGCGGCCCGGGCCCCCGAAGCTGGGCCAGCAGCCGCTCTAGGAACACCCAGAGCTCCCCGCCCAGCCTGCAGAGTAGAAGGGGCTGCAGTGCCGTGGAAGGACCTTGACCTTGTCGCCAACCTTCTCGATTTGCCCCGTCTTTGGGGACAAATCATCTTTAGGGACAAATCGTCTTTAGGGACAAAGCCCCGGGCACATCGAGCCACCCTCCTCTTCCATCACCCTGGTCCTGATTCTCGTCCTTCTGGGGCCACTCTCCAGCCTGACGACTGCCCAGGGCCACCCATCTTGTCACAAAGTCACTCACGTGTAGAGCTTCAGGTGGACTGTCTTCTTACACCCTCCACGTAGGATGAGCCTCCCCCAGAGAGCTGGGCAGGAAGGGCTAAGTCAGGGCAAGTATTTCCCCACTCAACAGATGAGGCAATTGAGGGCCAGGGGGCAGAAAAACAACCTCTCAGAGGGACGCAGCTGAGATAGGGAAGTTCCCGGGACCTCCGAGCTGTGCCCCCGAGTGCCTGCCCTAGGGGTCCCATCAGAGAGGGGATGATCTGGACCTCACGCCTGCTTCCACCAACACAAGTTCAAGTCCATCTCTCCCCACCTCACATCCAGATCTTATGCCCCCTGTATTTTAATTGTCTAAAGCACGTGGCGGCAGGCTGTATTATCCCCATTTTACAGATGAGGAAGCTGAGGTTCTGAGATGTGAAATGGCTCTCCCAGGATCACAGGCTAATCAGAGACAGTGCCGGATGGCCAGACTCCCATGCCAGGGCTGCCTCCCCCACCCGCAATCTCAGCCTCTAAAGCCAAGAAACCGGCTCACAGGGACAAGTGTGGAAACCCAGGCTCCAGACCTCCCTTTCCCTAGATACACTCTCCGCCTGACTGGGTGGCTTTTCAAGTCCCTGCAGCATCCTGGCCCTCAGTTGGCACATCTGTAGCAATCAACGGAGGGACCCCCTAACAGCTCCTGGGCGATGGCGTCGGAGGGTCGAAGTCTCCAACCTAAGCACCCAACCTAAGCGTGGGATCTGTACCCTTTCCCCTGAATCTAACTGGGCTCCGTGCTGATTTGATCAACAGAAGATGGCAGGATCGATGCTGGGCCTGTTTCTTCTACTTCCTGTCTCTTGGGACTCTCACTCTGGAATCCCTGAGCCATCAGGCGAGAAGTCCAACTTCCCCGCTGGAGCACCCCTGAGAGTTCCTGGAGAGGGCAAGGGGCCCAGCTGGGTCCAACCTTCTAGAACCTTCCAGACCCTTGTAGCTATCCCTGCTTCCAGATGTGTAAACACAGCCTTGAGACGAGCCACCAGCCAAATGCCACCAAGTAACCCTAGTGGTCACCACGTAAAGCCGAAGACAGCACCCAAACTCCCGGCCATAAAACCATGAGAGGTAGCGAACTGGGTGTAGCTTGGAGCTGCTAAGTTTGGGGTGGTGTGGTAGACAACACTGACACCGGACATGGGGTTTCTCCCTAGAAGGAGCCTGGGGCTGGAGGGGGGCACAGCTGGTCCCCTCTTCTGGCCCAGCTGCTCTCTGTTCCCCGCTCTCCCCAGCCGGGAAATGGGCAGAATGAAACCTCCCAGGGACTTTGGTGATTTCAGGAGCAGGGACATAGGTGACATTCCCAGGCATTAGACTGGAGACCGGCCACACGAGAGCCCAGTTCCCACAGAGAAGCAGTCTGCAATTGGCTGACTTTGGAACACCCCAGGAGGAAACTGGCAAACTGTGAGTTCAGAATTTTTTTTTTTTTTTTTTT